GATGGATGGATGGATGGATGGATGGATGGATGGATGGATGGATGGATGGATGGATGATAGGATTGTCCCAACAGAACTACTGGTGTTTGCCACAGAAAACAAGTCGAAGTAATTTACTCCAGCTGCTGACTAGCCCATTCAGGAACTGGAGGCTGGAATTCTGTGGATTCAGGGAATTAAATATGTAAATATTTAATCCAAATTCTAACCTTGTCCCTAAACCTCAAAACTCTAGAATCCTTATGGTGTCATAAAATATTCCAGAACTCACACAGTGCATTTAAGAAAGTCCTAATGGATGAAGGTTTGTATACATCAATATGTTTCCATATATGTAGGATATAGGGAAACAGGAGCATTTGCTCAAGTTTGTTTGTGTGTGTGTGCACGTGTGTGTGTGTGTTTGCGTGCGTGTGCATGTGTGTGTGTGTCACACACACTTCAAAACCTGACGAGTACAGTTGACATGAACTTGAGCAAATGCTCGTTTCCCTGTATCTTACATATGCCTCAGGTATTACACAAAGAGCAAAAACATTTATAAGAAAGGTCTAACTACATGCCATATTTATGGGTTTCAGCTTGGATGCCTCAACAAACTCCAGTACTCTAGCTCTTCGAAGTCTCGGTGCTTCCTAAACCTGCCAATCCTGTCTTGGAGACTGTTTGTTCATGTAACTATTATGATATTTTACCAGCTGTACATCTATTGACTTGGCTTTACAATATCTCGCTCCATGACTCCAATACATTTTTTTCTATCAAGAGTTCTAGATTGGTTTTACTGTAGCATGCAGGAACAACAGTGAGTTAGGCACTTACAAAGGAACATTTTTTTTCTGTCAGTATCCCCAGCAGCAGTGAGCTAAACTAGTTCCACAGCTTCAATGTGGTGAAGCCAGGTTGAAACAGACTTTGACATACATTTGACAAGTTGATACTGAAAAGAAATTCCAGGAGTAACCATTTCTCAAAATTAAATTTCATTGTCTACATTTGAAATCATTACATTCAATATAAACTTTTTCAGACAATGTTCAATTACATCAGTGCTGGATGTCGCTTTTGACTGATTTCTAGATGCTGCTAAGGAAAACGAATAGTATGTCATTAACATTATATCATCATACTCAAACCTATTTCAGACATTGTACAAAGATCAAGATTCAAATGTCACTGTGTACACCTAATTCAGACATCACCGTGTATGTAAAGGACCATGCCAGTTCTTGCCCACTGGAGCCCCTGAAGTTCTTTTATGGGAGGCCTAAAGGGCTGTGTTGTAAAGCAAGTGCCCCAAAAGTCTCACTATGAACATCCAAGGAAAGTACTATGCAACATTTTGGATCACCTCTTGTGTAAAGAATGACAACACTTACCAAATCTATAACAACATCCTTATTAAAAGTGTTTCGCCATTCTGCAGCTACGTTGCACACATACATTACTGCTTCTGGATCATCAGCATTCACATGAAAAATAGGTGCATTCACTACCCGAGCTACATCCGTTGGATATGGAGATGAGCGAGCCATTCGTGGATCAGTAGTAAAACCAATCTAAAATGCAAGACTTCAGAGGTAGTTTTCAATGCCAACATCTCCCTTCACCCACCCACTCCTTTGTTGTAAGCACTGAAATCCAGATTTTGCTCAATAGACAAGTTATATGGTAGAGTCATACATATTCATAACAAGCAAGTTTAGGCAAATGTTGTATGCCATGACAGCAGTATTCTTTTGATGCTGGAGAAAGAGGACAATAAGCCTTAAGGTCAGCAAATGGCAATTCCTGGTCATTTTGGATGAATATAATAAAATGTTTTGCCTTCCAAACTGAGACTGACTTTGCATTAACAGCAAAAAGCTTGACTTTCAATCCCTTGTGATGTTTTCTCTAATTTTTTTATAGTTTATTCTCTCAAAGCCTGCCTCTGGCCACAGTGTGACCCTTTGCTCAATGGTTGGGAAGTGCATCATGTGTTGTACTCTCTATAATCAAAACCACAGAAAGACATGCCACAGAACATTAATGAAATGCAGACTTCTCCAGATATGCTCTACTTTTTACCTGATTGTTGACCACAACGTGAATGGTCCCATTGGTGGTATATGACGGAAGATCACTGAGATGAAAGGTTTCATAAACTACTCCTTGTCCAGCGAAGGCGGCATCACCATGTAAAAGTATAGACATAACCTAAACGGTCAGGAATTTAAAAATAAAGCGTCTAGTTACTATCAGTTGACACATTTTAAATGAAAGTATCAATAATGTTGCTACTTGAGTCAGATCTGACATCCAGAGGGGGTTTCTGGCCTCTCAACTGAGTGGTGCTGAGTGCGCACCATCTGCTGCAATATAACTTGGTAGCAAGACATTTTGCTGGATATGAGTTATGCCATGCTCCTGCCACTTCTCAAAAGAGCACTTTAACAAAATTAATTTATGACCAGTACAGTGGGGTCTCTACTTAAGAACGTCCCTACTTAAGAACAATTCTACTTAAGAACAGCTCCGTTTGCTAAATTTTGCTTCTACTTGAGAACAGAAATCCTAGATAAGAACAGGAAAAAAAACCTTTCCTGCTCTTTTTTTAACCTTAGGTCATCTTAGGTTAAAAAAAATTCTCCCCCTAGTGGTAGAGTACGTATTAACCAGCTTTGCATTAGTTCCTATGGGAACTAATGCTTCAATGTACGAACGCAACAAAATTAATTTATGACCAGTACTATAAAGATCTTATTATATACACATAAGAGACATCCACTTTAATGCATAGTGCTAGAACGGATTAATTGGTTTTCAGTCCATTGCTTCAAAATTAGCTTCGTCAGAAGTGCTTTTAACACTGTTCCCTGACCTAAGAAAAAAAGAAAAAATATCCCCCTCTAGTGGCAGAAGGCGGAATAGCAGCTTCCCATTAGTTTCTATGGACGGAAAAGAGCAGATACGGATTAAATGGTTTTCAATGCATTCCTATGGGAAATGCAGATTCTACATAAGAACTTTTCCACTTGAGAACCACCTTCCAATACGGATTAAGTTCTTAAGTAGAGACCCCACTGTACTATAAAGATCTTATATACACGTAAGAGACATCCACTTTAATGCATAGTGCTTTTTTAAAGGTCAGAACTAAAGAATGGGCCTATCCCAAGGTCTCACGTAACTGTTTCAGGATCAGCTCAGCTGAAGCAAAAATGTAGTTTGAAAACTGACACTGTCTATCTCATTTTTAATAATTGAAAATTACTGTAAAATGGATTATTAAAAATTAAGTTAAGGAAGCATTATTATCTACCTTCTTCCCCTCAGTATCGCCTCGGTAAAACTGCTCAGCTTTGGTCTTTCCTTGTACAACAGGATCAACTGCTTCCAAATGAGATGGGTTGGCCACAAGTGACAGGGTGATCTTTTTGTTCGTTGCACGGTTAATTCTCTCGTGGTACATTCCTAAGTGATATTTTACATCACCAGATCCCTAAAATAAAAGCAAGTATCAAAGTTCATGCATGCTTACCACCAGTATGGCTAGATTTGGCCAAGGTTTGTTTAGCTAGCCTCTGATCTGTTTGTACAGTGGTGCCTTGCAAGACAAACACCTCGCGGGACGAAAAAATTGCAAATGGGTCTTCATGGATTGCTGCCTTGTTGTGGCGAAGGGGCTTGAGTAACTCAGAGAAGCTATGGGCTATGCCGTGCAGGGACACCCAAGACGGACAGGACATAGTGGACCAAGACAAATGCCTCGCGGGACAAAAAAATTGCAAATGGGTCTTGTGAGTTTTTTGTTTTGCGAAGCAAGTTTTCCCATAGGAATGCATTGAAATTTAATTAATGCTTTCCTATGGGAAAAAAAGTCACTTACCTGGTAGTAAGACCAAGTAGACTAAGCCCCACTCCTCCTTGGTAGCCCGGGGAACAGCCAGACTCCAGCGCCAAACAGCCACATGGCTGCTGCCTCTCCAAAATGGCTGCTGCCTCTCTGCTGGTTCCCGACGGTCAGCTGTTCGGCGCTAGAGTCTGGCTGTTCCCGGGCTACCAAGGAGGAGCGGGGCTTGGTCTACTCAGTCTTACTACCAGGTAAGTGACTTTTTTCTGACTTTTTTCCCCATAGGAACACATGAATTAAATTTCAATGCATTTCTATGGGAAAACTTGCTTCAGAAAACAAAATTTTCGCAAGAGGGCATTAACCGTGGAATGGATTAATTTCGTCTTGTGAGGCACCACTGTATGTTTAAACCTAAACTAGCCAGCTATGGTTTAGAACAGTGGTCCCCAACCTTTTTGACACCGTGGACCGGTAGGGAGAGGACAGGTCCGTGTGTGGGGAAGGTGCGGCATCCCACCCCACGGTCGCGCACATGCACAAAGGAGTGGGGGTGCTCATGCAGGCACACACTCACTTGCATGCAGGCACGGGATGCTCGTGCAGGTGCACACACTCATACACACATGCGAAGGAGCAAGGGCACTCGTGTGGGCACACTTGTGCACATGCGCAAAGGGGAATGCTCACAGGGGTGCATGTGCACACTCATGCACATGTGCAAAGGGGCTGTGTGAGTAGAGTGCATGGGGGTGTGTGGGAGATCTGTCTCCGCGGTCCAGTCCGGCCCAGGCCACGGACCGCCACAGCCATAAATCACAGTCTGTTGTGACCCAAAGCGGCTCACAATAATTAAAACTGCAAAACAATAAGCTTAAAATGCTATGCAAAACTATATTTTAAAAAAGTAAACATTATTCAAGATTAAAAATAATTCTAAAAACTTAGCAACAGGATCCGCCTCCTTGGCGAAAAGTTCTCTCTCCCCAGCTGAGTCACCAAGCTCAGCAGCAACTGCATTCTGGAGGGGTGTTGGTAATGGTACCACGCGTGTGTTTACTCATATCCGCTGAAGGACTGTATTAAAAACATACTTTTGCAGCAAGCTATCCCAACAGTTCAACAGATGTGTAATTGCAGAATATACGTATGAAATGACAATAACATAAAATAAGAGTTTTATCTCACTTCATCAGCTGCTTCTAGCTTTGGATCAAACTGGCAAAAGATCTGTTCCAGCTCCTTTCGGATAACATTAGCCAACACATTCAGCCTTCCTCTTGGGGAAATTAAACATACACACAAAAAGACTAGAAATTAATTACCAATGCAGAGAGCAAAATCATATATATGTATATAAAATTACATACACATTTCTGTGGATGCTTAAATGCAAAGTTCTGTTGCTGTGGTTTAGTATTACAACATTCCACATATTGACTATATTGCCCATTATTTTCCCCCACAAATTTTATTTTCATCAATTTTGCGTAGATAGCACCTTAAAATTTTAGCTCTACTTGCACTGCCTCACAATAAAACAAAAATAAGGAAGGAAGGTAGAGTGTTTGCATGTGTTTCATTTTGTGTAAGTTATGTACCTTTCTTTTTTCATTTAAGTAATATTTTCAGTTCCTAAAGAAAAGTAGTTTTTTTCCTTAACATTCCCTCTTAACTCTGCTGGTAACCGTTTGGACTTGGTACTATTTCTCTGACCTGCAGTATATATTATATTTTATGTCTGTAATAGCACAGCAAGAAAGTGTTAGTTTAGCCCAGGATCACCTACTAAACTTAATGGTGGATAATAGATGTGAACCCAAGTTTCTGCAGATGAAGTCACATTTACTAACCACTACTCTGCCCTTTGCTAGCTCACTGTTTTATGCTTATCTGCATATCTCAATAAAGATTTGGGTACTGGAGGTACATTTCTTATATCATGTGCCCAGCTAAAACAGCATTCTGTAAGCCATTACTGATAGGAGAGAGCAATTCAAACAAAACATTGAGACTTTTTAACAGATTGTTGAACTAGGACCACATTTGGCAGACTGACTGGAGACCATATAGACTTCTTCTTTGCTAAATGTGAAAAAGATTGGACAGATACTTTTAATGTTATAGTTTGTTTTAAAGAAACATTCCCTTTTTTCTCCCTGATCCCATTTGCTACCTTTTTCAAATAGAAAGGCAGCAGAATAGAATTAAGAAACCATTGAGAGAGGAACCACAAAGTTCAAGAGATGCAGAGAAAGAGAGACAGAACCAAGGGAAAGAGAGTAGCCAGACAGAGAAGAGGAAGCAAAATAGAAAGTGAGACAATGGACTTCCGGCTTGACGTCGCGACGAGACAGCAGCAGGAGGACAGAGCTCTGTCCCCTGGGCTGAATTTTGACCTGTTTGGGACACCCCAGGGTGTCGGAACCACCCCGGAGAGGTGGTGAACTGGGGGGGAAGCCTGTTGATCACGGGGGGGATGGAGGTCATCCCATTTGATCCAGGAAACTCCCTAATCAGCCAACGGGCAGAAACAAGCAGCTTGGGCTCGCTTGCAGGTCGTCGGCAGCCGGCTAAAAGAGGCAAGAATTAGCTTTCTGGCATCGGTGTTACTATCGGGTGAGATATATTTTTACAACTAATTGCTTATGATTACCCCTG